CTTTTCCAGTAACTTCCAACACTAATTAATGGTTGCTTGCAGCCTCGTTGGAAGCGAAGATAATTATATATATATATATATATATATATATATATATATATATATATATATATATATATATATATATATATATATATATATATATATATATATATATATATATATATATATGTATATATATATATATATATATATATATATATATATATATATATATATATATATATGTATATATATATATATATATATATATATATATATATATATATATATATTTTTTTTTTAACCGTTAAAAAAGCTCAAGTGAAGGTAAAGAATAAAGTTAAACTCAAATTAAAAGATAAATATCGTTTTTAAAAAAGTCACCTTTAAATCATAATCACCTATCTTAATCAAGTCAATAATCTTATAAACTAATTTAAAACAAAACAAATCAAAAATTTACTAAAAGGTAAACAGAATTTCGAACAAAAAAAAAAAAAAAGAAAAAAAAGAAAAGAACTCTTCCGTAAAACAAAAAAAAAAAAATAAAAAAATAAAAAAACGAGAGAGAAAGAAAAAGTTAACCAATAAAAAGAAACAAAAGAAGAAAAGAAGAAGGAAAAATAAAGAAAATTACAAACAAAGAATAAGAAGATTGGTTGTTTTATACTTTTTTTTTAACGATTTATTTGTAATAATATACTATAATTTTTTGTGTTTCTAATTTTATTATTATTAATTTTCTTGAATTATATTATTATATTTTAAATAATATTCTTTTATTATATTATTATTTTTCTTGTATTTTATAATTATTTTTCGTTAATATAGTTAATAATTTTTTGTTTGATGTTTTTTTTTGTTTGTTTTTTTTAGTTGTTGTATCTTTAATTGTTATTTATTTATTACACATATATTTTCTGCTATTATATTATTTATTATTAAATTAACTATTTAAAATTCTTAATACTATATATTTTTTATGATTACTGGTTAATTATTATATCCTTTATTTTTAAATTATACTATATTTATTTATTATTGATTTATGCCATACTTTATATGTTATTGAATTGTTTTTAACTTATATTTTTACATGGCAATTAAGTACCATTGTAAGTTCTGCAATAAAGCAGTGGCCAATCATCAAAGAGGCATTTTATGTGATTGTTGTTCTTCTTGGGTTCATGCTAAGTGCAATTCAATCAACAAATTTTCGTATAACCTTCTTGTCAAAGACACTTCTGACTGGTATTGTAGTGATTGCATAATTAAGAATATGCCATTTAGCACACTTTCGGACTTAGAATTTTCTTTAACTGTATCATGCCAGACTCGACCAACTAGTACCTTAAATTCTTTAGAAAGTCCATTACAATTTTACAACTTTTTTAAGGATATAAATAAAATCTCTAACACTTATTTCAACTGCAAATACTACGATATTCTTGATCTCAATAAAACTTTAAAATCAAATTCTGAATTGTACCTTCATCTAAACATTGGTTCTTTGCACTTTCATATTGATGAACTTCGCAGTCTCATAAGTTCACTTACCATTTTTCCAACAGTATTTGGAATTTCGGAGTCTAAATTGTATATTAACGATCCCAATATAACTGACATTAGTATAAATGGTTATAACATCGAACAATGCTCTACTGAAGCTAAAAAAGGAGGTGCTTTTCTATACTTAAAGTCCGATCTAAACTACAATGTCAGAAGAGATCTTATAGTATATGCCCCAAAATTTCTAGAATCTGTCTTTATTGAAATTGTTAATCCTTTTAAGAAAAATATCATTGTCGGCTGCATATACCGGCATCCTTCAATGAACCCAAAGGAATTTATTTCTGATTATTTTAATCCTTTACTTGAAAATCTTAGTTATGAAAATAAACAGGTTATGTTAATGGGTGACTTTAACATGGACTTACTAAACTACAATGAATCCCTTATTATATCTGATTACCTTGACTCACTTTGCTCTTATTCTTTTTACCCAACAATAATTCAACCAACGCGAGTAACCTGTAATTCTAAAACAATTATTGATAACATCTTCTTAAATTTTCAAATTCCTAATCTTATTTCTGGTAACGTAACAATATCAATTTCAGTTCACATGGCACAGTTTGTTTGCATTCCTAGTACTCCTTTCAAAAGAAAAAAATCCATAACAACTAAACGATCATTTAAGAATTTCAATGATAATGAATTTATTCAGGATATTTCTAATATTGACTGGAAGTTTTATATCAGAAATGGTGATGATGTCAATGAATCAATGAACTTCTTTTTAAAAACATTCAACACAATTCTTGATCGTCATGCCCCGTACAAAAAACTAACCAAAAACCAAGTTAAACTCAAATCTAAACCTTGGATTACTAATGGAGTTCTGAAGTCAATTACAATTAAAAATAAGCTCTACAAAAAGTATATAAAATCTAAAAATTGCAACACAAAAAGTCAACTATTTGATAAATTTAAATTGTACAGGAATAAAATTAGCAATTTATTAAGAATTTCCAAAAAGTCATACTACATCTCCTTCTTTAACAAAAACTTCAACAATATAAAAAATACATGGAAAGGAATAAAAGAAATTATTAATATCAAACCCTCTACACCAATTAAATCTTACACTCTTAAGTCTAACGGTTACACTATCTCTGACAGTATGGCTGTTGCTAACATTTTTAACAAATACTATGAAACAATACAACACCCACCCAAAAGTAAAATGATTTCTTCTAAAAGTATCTTCTCTGACTATTTAAAAAATGCTAATTCGAATTCTTTCTTTCTTAATCCAGTGACTGAAAATGAGGTATCTAATTTAATAAAAAATAGTTTACAAAATGGTAAAAGTTTTGGACCAAATAGTATCCCCACACACCTTCTTAAACTTACTTCTCATGTTATTTGCAAGCCTCTCTGTACCATATTAAATAATTCTTTTAATAAAGGTCTTTTTCCAGATGTTTTTAAGATAGCCAAAGTTATTCCTATCCATAAAAAGGGTTCTCTAATGGATCACAGAAACTATCGACCGATTTCTCTTCTATCTAACATTAGTAAAATATTTGAAAAAGCCATGTACAACAGACTTTATAGCTTTCTTGACAAAAACCAATGTCTTTACAAACATCAGTATGGGTTTCGTAACAAACACTCCACGACTCATGCACTTATTAAAATAACTGAAACTATTAGAAATGCTCTTGACAATAAGCTTTTTGCATGTGGAGTGTTTCTTGACTTAGAGAAAGCCTTTGATTCTGTTGATCACTCCATCCTCTTAAAAAAATTGGAACACTACGGTGTTCGAGGTAACACTCTCCAATGGTTTTCATCATATCTTTTTAATAGATCGCAATTTGTCTCCATTAATGATGCCAAATCTTTTCCAATAAAATGCTCCACTGGTGTACCCCAAGGTTCTGTATTAGGACCACTGCTTTTCCTTATTTTTATAAATGATCTTAATATCTCTCTAAAATTTTCAACGGCTTACCATTTTGCTGACGACACCAACTTACTCATAACTAACAAATCACTAAAAAAAATTAACAAACATATTAACCATGATTTATCTAACCTTCTTCAATGGCTGTGCTCTAACAAACTAAGTCTTAATACCAACAAAACTGAACTCATTATTTTCAAATCTAATCAATCTAAAATGTGTAAAAACCTAAACTTTAGACTAAGTGGACAAAAAATTTTTCCCTTACTTTCATTAAAATATCTTGGAATCCAAATTGACTCAGATCTATCCTTTTCCTCTCATCTTAAAAACTTAGCAGTAAAATTGTGTAGATCAAATGGGATGCTAGCCAAAATTCGCCACTATGTCAATTATGAAACACTACTTAATATATACCATGCAATTTTTGGATCTCATCTTAGATACGCTTGTCAGGTTTGGGGACAATGCAAGTCTAATGCTTTTTTAAGGTTATGTAACCTACAAAACAAAGCTTTAAAAATAATATTCTTTCAACAGTATCATTCTAACTCTGACATCCTTTACTTTCTATCAAAAATACTCAAATTATGTGATCTTGTTTATCTATTAAATTGTCTATTTGTCTGGAATCATAAACAAGTAAACCTCCCTCCGTCATTCTCAAATTTTTTTACCACTAAAAAAAGTTCTCGTTATTACCTTCGATCTTTGAGTAACTTTAAATTATCTATCCCAAATCGCTGTTCGGTAAAATACGGTGATAATTCTATTACAAACCAATGCGTAAAATCATGGAATAATTTACCTTTTCATTTTCAATCCCTCAACACTTTTTCACAATTTAAAACCCGTCTTTTTGACTTTTTGATAGAAAAATACGCAAATTAAAATCTTAGGCTTAAAATAGATTATTATTACTATTGTTATTAGTATTATTATTATATGTGATGTTAATATTACTTACATTTTATTTGCATTTTTATTACCGCCATTATTACTTATTGGAATTGTTTAATATATGAATGTGATATTTGTTAATATTATTATTGTTGTTACTCTTGTTGTTAACTTCATTACTATTATTATTATTACTATTATTGCTTTTGTTGTTATTATTGTTATTGCTTTTATCATTATTATTATTATTATTATTATATGATTGCTATTATTATTTAATTGGTGTTTACCTTTGATTAGTACTCGTACTATTAGTAAACTACCATGAAATGTAAACTATTATTTCAGAATATATTGTTGTTGTTGTTGTTGTTGTTGTTGTATATATATATATATATATATATATATATATATATATATATATATATATATATATATATATATATATATATATATATATATATATATATATATATATATATATATATATATATATATATATATATATATAGGGTTGCAGGTATTTTTAAATTTGAAAGGGTTACAGGTATTTTTAAGTATATTCTTTGTTCCAAAGAATACACTTAAAAATACCTGTAGCCCTTTCCAATTTTCATCCCCAGATTTATGCAAATCCCCAAGTAAAATAAAAAATTTAAATTTAGATTCTGTGGCATCAAATTCAAGTAAAGTAGTTGATGATGACAATAGGGAAAAGTAAAATTGCATTGATAAGTTAAGGAAAATTGGTGATGGTAGAGTTTCGTTTTGAGAGATGACAAATAAACGTAAGTTTTTTAAACAATATCATTATTATTAAAAGATTAAACAGCAAGACTGTTTAAGTCACACATATATGGAACTGAGAATGTAAAACTGCCAAAAAAAACATTTGTCTAAATTTGAAGAATCTATACATCTAATTTTTGCTTATTGCTTTTTTTGATTTGATTTCTTGTTTAGAATTTCAATATGCTTTGTTTATGGACCTACAGAAAAATTTTTGGCAGATCCAAGAATCACAAGCACAAGTCCTTGATAAGCTTATAATAATTGAACAAAGTGGAGATGTTGATTTTGATGTGAATGTTGATGATATTGATAGAGACCCTATTAATTCGATTGAGCAATTTGATGTAATGAAAAATATTTTAAATACAAGTTCTAATGCAAGACAACGCAAGGTAAACTATAAAATATAGTAACAAGGTCAGTAATTTTTGCAAACCTCAAACACTTTTAGGTTGGCAGTGAGGTCAGTATTGCCGAATACTCGTTCTAATTCCGAGGGCTTATATATATTTGTACTTATAAAAGTTAATTTTAAAAAAGTGGACACTTATGTAGTCACAATTTATAGTCTCATATTAAGACTTTATATGGTTTTTAACTTTGGTTCAATATTTAGTCAAATTTTAATTTTTTTTGATAAAAGGTTACTCAAATGAGAGGAGTAGGAGGAGCTACTCCACGGAAAACTGTCAAAAATGTTTTGAATGCTGTTATGACTCAAGAAATACAATCAAAGATAGAAAAAAAAGGAAACAAAAATTTACAAGCACTGCTCACTATAAATGCATTAAAGGTGAGTATTGAATACGAGTTAGAAGTTATTGCATCTTAATAAATTGTAAGGACCAAAATATTATTGATCAGAACGTGAAGCAGTAGTTCATTACTAATTTTCTGTTATTCATTAATTGCAATTTGATTCTAATTATTTTTTCATATCTTTAATAAAGTTTTTCTATATATGACATTCAAATAGCTGATAACATATTTTTATTGCTTAATTTGTGTTTTATAAAACATGTTCTTTGATTTACAGCAAATATTTAAATAATTATTTTTTCAGATGCTATTGTTGGAGACAAAAATGGATTTGATGTGAGCAGCATGTATATATATATATATATATATATATATATATATATATATATATATATATATATATATATATATATTTAATTTTTTATTTATATATTTAATAGATAAAGCTTTTAAAATTTATCAAATCTGATCCAGTTATGGAATACAAGCGATCATTAAAACAACATCATGTTTCTCCTACAAAAAGGTTAGTTTAATAAAGTCATAAGTTATTACTTACACAATTAGTAATAAAGAACAAGAAGTTAAAACTTCTTTTTTCTTAATTATTTTGACATTTATTTCCTTATTAAATAATCTTTTTGCAAAACATCCACTTAATGCAAGAATTAATTATACATGTATCAGGGTGTTAGCCAGGCTAATGGCACCATGTATACCGCAGAATTCTAAATGGGGTTTAAAATTCCCAAATTTTAAATGACTTTTTATTTTTGAATTAATAGGACAATATCAATAAAAACTTACAATATTTTGTTAATAATAACTATACTAATAAATATTCCCAATTTTGTTAAGACATGGTTAAAAGTACATTCTTGGCTAACACCCTGTAAATTTATATTTGTTACATTTAGATTATATATCTAAAACAGCAAGCAAAACAAATAGATTGAATAGTTTGATAATTATTTGCATAATGTCTTATTTACCGAGCAATTAACCCAGTGGCGAAGTTTAAGAAGATCTGTGCATAACCTTTCACTGTCAATTCAAACAAACAATAACCTTAAACCTGATAGTTGTAGCTCCTATAGTGGGGATGAGCCTTCATACAAAACTTGTGCATCTAAAGATACTATACTTTTAGAACTAAATGGTAACCAAGAAAAAGGTTTACATGAGATACCGATACTGGTCTATACTGTGTCGATTTGGGCACTTTAAACCTTTAGTTGCATTGTATGGTGGTGTAAAGAAGCCAATTGCATCTGAGTTCTTAAATGACTTTGCTGAAAAGCTGCAAACCTTTGATAGTCGTATTGCAATATGCAGGAAAGAGTATAGTATTTCTGTATTTTTTATTTCATGTGATTCACCTGCTAAGTCACTTTTAAAGGATACTGTTGAAAATTCGGTATATCATTTATGTGAGCGATGTAATGAAGTTGGTATTTCAATAAAGAATCGTTTTGTCTTTACCAATACACAATTAAATATTCTACCCAGAATAAATGCTAAATTAAAAGCTGGAATTTATTCTAAAGTTGACAGCTTTGGTCAGTGTCACCATCATTCATTAACTCCTTTATATAACGTTAATAGTTTAGATACGGTTGGCGATTTTCCTCTTGATTATATGCACTTAGTTTGTTGGGAGCCATGAGCCGTATTCTTAAATATTTTAAAGGTGCATATACTGGAATTTTAAAGGGGCGTTTATCAGCCTCTTGTATTGGTCAAACTTCTTATTTGCTCACTTGTTTAAATGGCAAATTACCAACTGAATTTGCACGTCAAACTTGGTCATTAATTGAGTTAAAGAGATGGAAAGCTCCAGAGTTTAGAATGTATTTATTGTATGTTGGAATAGTTGTTTTAAAAGGTATTCTTGATCATAAGGTGTACAAACATTTCTTGAGCTTAGTATTATCTAAGCGTATGCTATGTGAAGAGGAAAATAATGAAAGAAGGATGTATTTAGATTCAGCTAGACAACTTCTACTTTACTTTGTCTCAAATTGTCATGAACATTATAGTGACACTTTTTGTGTGTACAAAATTTACAGTCTCATTCATGTTGGTGATGATGTGGAACATTTTGATGCACTTTTAGAATTTTCTTCCTGTTTTCAGTTTGAAAATCATTTAAAAATGCTTATACGTTTAGTTCGACGACAAAATAATCCTTTATTAGAAATCTCAAAGCGTCTCAGTGAATCAAAGAGCAGTGATTTGTGTCAAGAAGGAACTGTTACAAAAATTGACACATCTAAGAATTCTTGCTTTTTGTAAAATAAATTTTGGTCAATGGTGAGTTAGTTTGTGATGTTTTAAAGAAAAAAAGATTGGACAACTTTTTTGATGGTTTCGTTAAGTCTAAGACACTTAATATTTATTGCCTTAGAGCAAACAGTGTTTGTATGAGCCGTAAAATCAGCAAAGATAAATTATTGCGGAAATGTTTGTGCTTAGCTTTTAAAAATAATCATATAGTTATCTCTTTATTGAATGATGTTAAAATTTAATGTTATGCTTGTAAGTAAATAAATGAGTTTATAATTATAAATTGTATTTTTTTCTAAGAAATTTTGGAATCATTCTATTCGTATAATGGTTTCAAATCTCGCTAAATTTATCTGATAAAACTGTTACTGTAATTATTTTGTAATGTAATCAATTATTGCTGATTAAAAGGTAATGAGTTTTTTTTGTTTTGTTGTGCCTATAAAGTGTTTTTCCTGTGAAAATGTTCAACTTTTTCTTAATAAAGGTTGCATTATACAATTGTTATTAAAGAAGATTAGGCAGATACAAAAACTGTTGTGCCATCTCATTGGGTTGAACAATGTAAAAGTTGTATATTTTATATTATTGGAATAAAAGGAAACAGAAAATTTACAAGCGCTGTTCTTTATAAATGCATAAAAGTTGAGTATTGAATACGAGTTTGACTCTATTGCATCTTATATAAGTCTGAAATATTTTCGTTAACAGTAAATAGCAGAACGTGAGTATATTGCAATAGTACATTGCTCATTTTCTGCTTGTATAAGTATATTTGCGGTCGTTTTTCATTTTAATTTAGTTTTTTTTATGTATAACCTTCTACAACTGATAAGTATAATAAAATAACTTTGATAAATGTTATAGTATAAACTTTTAATTTATAAGTATTTTAGTTAGTTGACTTTTTGGCTTAAAGTAAAGTAAATTTCTATACTTTATTTTTGAATAGAATTGTTTTGATTTTTCTAAAACATGCCCTATGATTGACAAACAATTTTTTGATAAAAATTATTTCTTCAAAATCCATTGTTGTTGACAAAATTGGTAATGATTCATGCGACATCGAGGGTGCCATTGTCGACAATGAAACGAACCAAAAAATAAAGTTTTTGCAATATTGTATTTATTTATTTGTCAAAAATATTACTCTTTTTATTTTTTGCAATGATTTGTGTCAATACTGGGATTTATTTATTTATGCAATAACCTAGTTATTATCCTAGCGAGGGTTGGCACATGAGTTGAACTCCTAAATACGTGTATGTTAAATTTAGGCCCTGTGGGAAAAATAAAGACTTCATGTCTTATATCAAAAGACTCCATTTTTTATAGTTGTTAGAGTCAGTATAAGAATGAGCTAAATAAAATTAAACGTTAAATGAACGGACAAATTTCCAATTAAACGTAATACGTCCGAAATGCGTCTGTTGTGGACCTCTGAAAAGGCTGTTTTGGACGTCCTTTTGCGGTTCGAAATGGATGGACGAAAGTTGTTTCATTTGGCACGTCCATGGACGTCCATTTTTGACATCCAAACGTACCGTTTTGGACGTCCTTGGACGTCCTATGGACGTCCGTGTGCCCACTGGGGATGGAAAGATTACAAGTACACAATTATTACCTGACTTTATTTAAAAACCGTTTCAAAAAAAGCTTAGTAATAATTCAGTATTTGTAATCTTCTTGCTCCAGCAATTAGACAATTAATTTTTTTGTTATAAACAAAATAGATGAAATTAAAAAAAAAGAATGAAAAAGAAATCAAGTTTTTAATAAAATTTACGGAAAAGAGCAATCCGTATTGGTACTATAATATCTCCCTCCTCTTTGCCTCCTCTATGCATTTGTACGCATACGACGAATACCTAAGTCCACACCCATAGTAAATATAAACCATAAGTAAGTAACCATAGTAACCCATAGTAAAAGTATATATTTGTAGTTTAACTAAACTAAATTTTTTTTTATCTGCTATTAATTAATATTTTTAAACAAAACTATTTTACCAAATTAATAAAACGTAAACTGTTATAGGATTTTAAAACTTTCAGCATATTTATTTAGTTTCAATTTGATATTTTTTATATTTAAAATCTGTAATAAAAATTGTTATATTAAATAAAATTACCTGCAAGGTCATCAACCTGTTTTTGCAGATCTAATCTATCTATGTTTTTTACAGCATATTTAAGTTTTTCCAGTGTTGCGTTTTTATTAGATTCATACCATTGAGTTAACATTTTGTATGCTTGCATAATCGTTCCATTATTATCATTTTTTATTATTTTTAACACGTTATCAGCGATTGAAAGACAAATTCCTAGTGGCTCCCAATCAACTCCCACTAACTTACTTACTTCGTACCTAAACTTTTGATCTGCTAGCACAAAATTCATTTAAGATTTACTAGCTGAATTGAGAAAGTACCTATCAAAAAATAAAAATTGCTTGTGCAATTAAAAGTTATATATATACCCTGAGTAATTGAAAAATGTATATATTTATCTAAATTTTTTTTATTAAAGTACAAATTTTTTTTAATAAAGTACAAACAAAAAATTTTTTTTTATTAAAGTACAAACTTTTTCTATAAATAAAACTTTCATAAATAAAGCATGCCAATTTCTAACTGTTAACATTATAATTACTGTTATAATTACTAATTTAACTGTAAAAGTTATAATTACTTTTGAATGGGAGTACTGCTACAATTAATAATAGCAATAATAACAATAATAATAATAGCAATAATAACAAAAGTAATAACAATAGTTTATTCTTTATTTTTTCTATGAAAACATCACTGTCTAAAAATAAAATCTATATTTTTTGCAATAATTTTTATTACCAAATAAAACTGAATTTGACTTTAATAGATAATAAAACAAACAACAACGTGACTTGCGTTTAACTTTTACAAGAATAATTGCGTTTTACAAGAATATTTACCTTACGTAAAATGTAAATAAACTTTCAGAGTTTTGAATTTTTCCAACAGATTTGTATATTTATTTTTACTATTATTAAAAACATTTTGATTGGTGCATATTATAAAAAATTTTCGTGTTTTTTATTGTGATTGGTGTATATTATTAAAAAACATTTTGGTTGGTGGTAAAACTCTATCCAGTAGTTGTTCATACTAAAATAAATTAAAAAAAAAAAACGCATTAAAAAAAAAACAAAAAAAAAAAAGACTCTTATTATATTTAATATTAAAGGCATAAAAGAAATTTATTCTTAGATAGAAAATGTTTTAGTAATAAGGCCTCTATAACATTTTAAAGTTACGTAACGTCTCAATCGGTTACAATCGGTAACAAAGTTACATTCTCTATTTTTTTATTCAATAACTAGCAAAAAGCAACCCGTAATACGGGTTTTGGTCGGTCTGTTACATAATTAATTTTTAGTGGCTGTTTTCCACAATTTAATGTTGCAAAACCTTAACTAATACCCTTTTAGAAAATCGCCTTCAGCTTGAAAAAATTAATCCATCTGTAAAACTAACATAAAATGTATGAGGAGGTAAAATAATTTACCAACTACTACTTAATATTTACTATTACTACTTAACATTATTTAAGTAATTTACAAATGGCATAGGTCATAACAGTGTAAGGCAGAACCATTTTCATCGACCTTCCTAAGTTTAACACAATATGTTTTTAGTTACTGACACAAAATAATAACACTTGGTCATGCTTTAAATTGACGAAAGTATCAACTAAACCCTTGTAATAATTTTTATAATACGAACCATTAAGATTAAAATGAAGTTAACTTATATTATACTGGAATTATCAATTTTTTGGTATCCCCTTGCTTAATTGTTCTTTAGAAAAGAAAATTGTTAACTTAAAAATGTTAAATGCACACATTTAAATAAATTTTTTAAAAATAACAAAGTTTATTATAAATAACTACGCAACTGTGTACAAATACCTTTCAAACGAAAAAATTTAATTTACGATCGAACATGGGTATAACAAATTTTATAATGCATTAATGCATCATACGACAAACCTAAAATAAAAATTATAAGAGATAAGTAGACATAAAAATTTGTAAACCAAGCTGACCCGACCCGGGTCTTGTTAAGTCTGTTCAACACAGACCATTTCTATATTATTTGTTTGGCCTCTTTATTTCATTAATTTTTTAGTAAACGGTAATTTGCCACCATTTACTAAAAATTTCTTTTGTAACTCGAAGTTTAATTTTCCTAAATATTTTGACTCTAATAAAGAGGTTCCTCCCCTCTTTCTGCTTTAAAGGTGCCAGGTGAATAAAATAAAATAATAAAATGTAAAACAATGATCTATATATATGAGAATGTTTTCTTTCTTTCCTCAAAAGTGTTGCAAATACAGACTAAGCTAACTAATTAGTTAAACACATAAATAAAACTTAAGTAACTCGATATTAATGCGCTAAACTACAATATTCTCCATGTTTTTAAAGGTTTTTAGTTACGACCCCCCATTTACAAAAATCCCCTTAAAATACGTACAACAAATTATTAGGCATAAAATAGATAAAATATAAACTTAACTATTAGAATATATTTATATCTTTTTAACTAACAAAAATTTACAATAAAAAGAAATCAGTTTTTTTTATTTTATAAATCTTACAAATGCGTCATAACGTAATTCTTAAATAAAAAAGTAATGAAATTATGATATCATAATTACAAAGAAAAAAAAAAAAAAAAAAAACACCACACAATTACCAAAAATCGATTTACCTATTTATAGTAACCTATTTTGAAATTGCAGTTAAGGATTTATCGAAAATGCAACTATAAAACCTGTTTCGAAGTACAAAAGCATTGACAATACTAAAAAAAAAATCAAACTAAGATATAAATTGTTGTTTTGGTTTTTATAATTTAAACATATATACAACTATAAACAAATATGACTTTATGTAACACGTATAAACGCATTTTACAACTATTGAATGATAGATATATTTACCAAAAACTATGAAGAAAAATAATGATAAAGTTATGCATACAAAATGTGCTCACAACCTTTAACAGTAAATTTTCGAAATGAAAATCTAAAGACTATAAATTAAGAACAACAAAAAATATAACGACATTTATGCTACAATTTTTTACCTACTATACCTTGAATAAGATGTTTATTAATTTTGAAAAACTAACTAATAAATGCTATAATTCTTGAAAATGCAGCATATAGTTGACCGTGAAATATTTCTTTTGTCTATATGTTTAATTTCGCGTTACGTAATTCATGGTGGCCACAAAATTTGAAAAGTTTAAATTCCAGGACATTTTGTTGCGTTTTCCAGGACATTTTATATCTTATTAAATGAATATTATCAATTATCTTTACGTTATATTTTTTTCATATCGATTGAATTATAGAATAGAATATTATATTATTATATTATTACTACTATCTTATTTAAAATTAAATTCAAACTATTTATATAAAAATAAATTTTCGCATAAATAATTTAATATTACTTCAATATTATTAGTAATTTTTTAACTTGACTCAGAAAAAAAAAAGTTCCAGGACATTTCAGGACATTTTTGAAAAAAATGTAATTTTCCAGGACACTTGCAAAAATCCAGGACATTCCAGGACTGTTGCCACCATGGTAATATATAGACGATCCCTAAAAAAAAATACTTGAAACTAAAAGATTTTATTTATTACAATATTTGAATAACCAAGGGACAATTTAAAGAATTATATCTTTAAATAGCAAATTATCAATCGCAGTATTAAAAAATACGCAAGAGCTCAGTATTTACAGAGTTTAATCAGAGCTTAGTAATTACAGAGTTTAATCAATTCTTTCTCTACAATTCTCAATACTAATTCTTATTAGGTCTCATCTAAGAGAGACAGGAAGTGTTTTAAAAACAGCATTTTAGAAAAAGTAAAAAAGTCATGCAATAAATAACAGTAACTGGTTTTATTATGCTACCAATAAACAAAATTATTTTTACCTTAACTAAAAGTTAATTTCCAGCATTTCTTAATTAAGCTCCAGCTTCTCTCTAACTGTTGACAAATTAATATTGTAAATTTCACATCATATTTAATTTACAAAATTAAAACCATGTTTCAACAGTAAGCAAAGTGACAACTAAAAAAAAATGAACACAATTATGTTTAAGATAACAAAAAAAAAAAAAAAAAAAAAAAATCATTTAAAGTTGAAACTGTTATCATTTGTTACTATATATATATATATATATATATATATATATATATATATATATATATATATATATATATATATATATATATATATATATATATATATATATATATATATATATATATATATATATATATATATATATATATATATATATATATATATATATATACATATATATATATATACATATATATATATATATATATATATATATATATTATTATATAAAAACCAAAATTTTTTATATAATATATATAGTATATTTGATAAATAAACCTCTGCAATTTCTTTGGTTCAACAACTTGATTATGATTAATAAAAATTCTGTAAATATAAATTTTCTAATGATCTAAATCTTTATAAATTAGATATTTTATTATATATCTTAATTATAAATTAAATAAATAATATTTATCTCAACTATAAATTAAATCTTTATAAATTAGATATAAATAGAAAAACAAACATAGAATAACACAATTATATCCTAAACCAAAATTCAAACATGCAAGGCAAATTATTAAATTTTTTGAAAAGAAAAAAAACATATTTTTTTTTAAAGAGCCAAAGTATTAGCAATACTATAGATAAATTTTATTTATAACAAAATGTTGTCGTGGCTTTTATCCTAATTATTAAAAGCATTTGAAAGCATGAAACTACCCATAAATATCTTTAAATGGAAGACACCATCTAAGAACTATAGTATTCTATATTTTCAATATTAACATGTATAACACGAAGTTTTAAATTTAAAAGTAGAATTTAAAAAAGATTACAATAAACTAATTACTTATAAAATTTTAAAAAGATTTTATATATACTCAATGTCTACTTAGACATTTTGAAAAGATTACGATTTTGAAAACTTGACACTTTAAATTTAAATTTTGAAAAACTGAAACTTTAATTCTACCTCAAAGAAAACAGATATATATTGAAAAGTATTTTTAAAATTTAAAAAAGTATTTTTAAAATTTAAAAAAGCTTTTAAACTTACTCCCTCCAATATTATTATATAATATATATAGTATATATGATAAAAAAACCTCCACAATTTTCTTGGTTTAACAACTCGATTATGATTAATAACAACTCTGTAAACATGAATTTTCAATTAACCTAAATAAATTATAAACAATTAAACTTAAATAAAAGTGTATGCAAAGGATAAATGCTATATTAAATACAGAAAGACAAACATAAAATAACACAATTTAATCCTAAACCAAAATTCATTCATGCAAGACAAATTATTATATATTTATTGAAGAGCCAGACACATTTTTTTTTTCAAAGAGCAAAAGTATTAACAATACTAAAGATAAATTTTATTTATAACAAAAATTGCAATAAAAATTAAATTAAGATAAATTTATAACAAAATGTTGTCATCGCTTTTATCCCAATAACCAAAACTATGTGAAATCATGAAACTACCTATAAATATATTTTAACGCTCGACACAATCTAAGAATTAAAGTAATCTATAACACGAAGCTTTAAATTTAAAAGTACAATTTAAAAAAGATTACAATAAATTAATTACTTATAAAATTTAAAAAAAATTATAGATTACCTAAAATTTTAAGCTACTAAACATTATCTACTTAGTGTCATCTTGGATATTTTGAACTCGTACCATGAAAGGTTGAAAGGAAATCTTTAAAAAAGAACGTGGTAAAGAAAAGTCTAGAAACTACTTAAAAAGTGTATTTTACAGATACAGAACCGTTTAATAACTATAAAACAATACGCGTAACCCCAGCAAACATGTAAGCGTTGAATCAACGTTGAAAACCAGTCGCAGCGTAGAAAAAGCGTTACAGTCACAAAAACAACATGCTTTCAACGTTAAATCAATGTCTGTTTTTGTATACTAAATCGCGGTAAATTGAAACCTTGAATAAGCGTTAAAATTGTAACGTAATTTAGCCTCTCCAAATAAAACGTTTATTCAACGTGGAATCAACTTACGCAAAAAGCCGCTTTAAAAACATTTTGAAGTATATGCTTTATCAACGTTAAAAAAAAACCGCTTTTTAAACGTTACATTTTCAACGTTGAATAAACGTATAAATGTAAACGTATCTTATCTTCTCAAAAAAATGCGTTTATTAAACGTTGAAAATAAGTTCGCAAATAATCACTGTAAAAACGTCGCTAAGGTTGTGGTTTATCAACGTTAGACATTAGCTGCTTTTTCAACGAATTTAAACTATTTGAAAAACAACACTTATTCAACGTTATTTCAACGTTGGTTGAAAATGTGCTATTTAAAAAACGTTGAAAAAGTGTTACTTTGCCAACGTTAATAAAACCTTGTTTTGACTATGTCGAGGAAGTGGCACATTAAAAATTATTGTCTCAATAACTAGCCATTACAAAAATAATTTGCCTTAATGAAAGGCAAGGAAAACTTGATAGATTGCATGCATATGGTATAAATTTTTTTAAAATAAAGTTTTATTTTATAGCCTATTTTATTGCGACTAATTTAAAACTTTTAGATTTTGTATCAAAATGTATATAAAGTACATAAATCTCAGGGTAAATTCGATTTATTCAGCTTATTTTTGTCAATGTTCTTAGTTATTATATTTCTTAGTTAGAAATAGTACTTAGTTTTAATACGATTCACATTTATAAAATATTATCAAAATTAATAAAACATAATAAGTCAGACTAAAGAGAGAGGCGTACTGTGTGTATAATAAATAAACGTTTTTTTTTTAAAATTACAAAATATTGTCATGTCTAGCAGCATCAACCGCATAAAAGCGGAAAGCTTGACAATCATAATAAAAATTATGTTGATGTTGTTGATCGTCAGCAGAGGCAGTTGTTCCATTTTGTTCGAAAAAAGATGGATGGTTATTTTGGTCAACTTGTGTTCATGCAATGAAAGCTACCTATAATAATTTTTCAATCATTGACTCATGCAACAAACTTAGACTTAAAAGAGTTAAAGTAACTGGAGGTCAATAAATTTTACAGTAATTATTGCTATTTTAATTGTTTTATATGAATAAAAAATTTATTATAGCTTTATTTTAACGGTGAAGTATTATATAAAATAAACTATTTTATTTTTATTTCAGAATAAGTAATATTTTGAATCTGGTTATGGTATTATTACTCCCTAGATATATATTGTAATCTGTTTACACTTATTCTACTTTTTTGTTTTTACATAATTTTATTTATATTTATTTTACTAAATAATTACTAATAGATAAAGAAGTATGTGCAGGATTTAATTTAACAACTAAAGAGGACTCCGAAGAAGAATGTAAGTAATTATGTTTGTAAATAATTTTGTTTCTCTTCGGATTTAACTTTTCTTCGTTTTTTATATATTAATGAATAAAAAAAAAATTAATATTAACTATTGGTCAAAGCTGACTTCAATGATACTGTCTACATTTTTTGACTTGTGGTAGTTTGATTACCAGTATAAATTTAGTAAAGTATTGGTGTATCAAAGATTGAGGAATGATTTGGTTTTAACTGGTTTGCATCTTATGAACGAAGTACATAATATGATTTAAATAAATGATTTATAGTTACACTTATTGAAGTAAGTTTTATTTAGTTAATTAATGTATCGAAACATGACTATTTTTAGTTGCAAAATTTATATATATATATACATATATATATATATATATATATATATATATATATATATATATATATATATATATATATATATATATATATATATATATATATATATATATATATATATATATATATATATATATATATATATATATATATATATATATATATATCAGGCGCGGATCCAGCATTTTTTGATGTTTGAGAAAACTAACTTCCAGACATGGAACAAACTCCAAAAATTTATATGTTTATACTTATGTCAAATAAAGATGATTTGCAAAAAATTGCGACAATTGGAGTCTGGGAACAAAAAAGCCCTAAAATTTTGGCCACACAAACCCCAAACAAGAGAGCAACAAGTTGATAAAATATTTTTTGTACAATTCTTAAGTAAATTTATTTCATCGACAAATTCTAAATTTCATACTATAATCTCTTAGTGTTCAAAAAACATGACCTTACAAAATTTGCAACCCCCTCAAATTGAGGGGGGTTGAAGCTTTGTGCAATTATAATTTTACTAAATAAATGAATTTTGTTGTGTAGCAAAATGATTTTCAGCCCAGAATTTAAATCCATAAGACACTTTAGTTAATAACACTGTTGAAAACTAACCAAAAGTCTCTAGAATCGACATCTAAGATAAGATACAAGGTTTAGTACACTGAGAACAACAGAGATTTACATCAGACAAAACTTTATTTATACATTAGCTTATTGCAATAATAAAAATGACAATTTTTTCTTAAGAGAGATGTTCTTATAAAAAAGCTGAAAAACGTAGTTAATGTTAAAAGATGTAGAGTAGAATGAGGTTTGATTTAAAACTGAAGAGAAGTAATAAAAGCTTTCAAACTTTTATTCGAGAAGCAATATATGCTTCCAAGATGCACTTTTTGCACACATATTATGGATATAGGCATATTTTTTGCTATTTGTTTAGATGCTGGCATACAATATCCTTTCATTGTTGTATAAACTTTAGTATTTATATAGTGTAGTATTTGTCGAAATAGAAAATGATCAGATGGATGTGTGGTGTGACTCTAACAAGATATAAAAAGTAGGCATATAAATGTCTTAGACAGATTAGAAAAAACGTTGTGTCAAACAACCTTTTTTTTAGAAAAAGTTAAAGTAATTCAGGTATTAACATGTAGAGTGGTAGCAGCTTCAGTATAAAATGGTTGTGGTAGAAGTAAGAAAGTGGCCAGTAAAAATAAATATATATATATATATATATATATATATATATATATTTATTTTTACTTTTTAAATTTAATAATAATCATACTAATTCAATAACATTTTTAAAACATTTGCTTTCAGATTAATAATGATACAAGTTTTATTTTTTTATTTAGATTCTGTATCTCAATGATATCCTGGCTTATCGATACGATATCCTGTAAATCCACTCACACACATAAATTTTACTCACACACGTAAATCCTGTAAATTCACTCACACACATAAATCTTAAAAAAGATGTTTATATTTTTATCTGTAAATTGTAAATTTTAAATAAATAAATTGTATATTTTTTATGTTTTTCATTGTATATTACTATTTGTATTAAAAATCGACTTTTGAAATATTGCAAGTGCAGAGTTCAACATACAATTTTGTTTTATTTGCAAATTCAATATACATTATAGCCAAGTTTAATCACGTTTAATAATATTTTGCGATATTTTCTCCAGCGCCTTTGAGCGTTGATTTAACGTTATATTTCAACCTTTACTCGACGTCTTTTAGTCACGTAAAATCGACGTTTTACTACCAACGTTACAAATCCTTGCAAAATCGACTGCTTTAACAACGTTAAAGTAACGCTTTTCAAATAACGTTTTTTCAACGTTAAGTTGCAGCGCCTATGCAACGCTTTTTAAGTAACGCTTTTTCAACGTTTAGTTAAGACATTTTTGTAACGTCTTTTAGTAACGATTTTTCAACGTTACGCTACAACGTTTAATCAACGTCTCTTTAACAACGTGACATATCTTTGCAAAATCGATTACTTTGTCAACGTTTCCGCAACACCTTTTGCGACCGGTTTTCAACGTTGATTCAACGCTAACATGTTTGCTGGGACTATGCGCACTATTCATTAGAGTATTAATATTTAGATTAGGTAATTTAAACTTGATAATGCAGTAATAGTTTGTTTACTTTTGCTGTAATGTTATATACTATCTTTTATTTTAATTTTATTGTAAAATAGCTTCTTTTCAATTCGTTACTTTGTCACGAAAAAAATATAAAATGTTAATACGCAAAATTGCGTCTCAATAGTTTTTTTTTTATAACTTTATAAAGTATAACCAATTGAGACGTAACATAATGTAACTCAACCTAGATTTGAGACCTAACTTAAATACGTCTCAAACATAGATTTTTTAACGTTACGTTACGTCTCAATTAGTTATCATTTAACACGGTTAGATATCAACATTTTTTATTTGCCAAGGTTAGATATCAACATTTCAATAAATAAAATATTTTTAATCTAAAATAATTCTATAGTTTTTTTATTTTAAATATAACTGACAAAAAAAAAGCACTACGAGTATACTCGTACTTTGGCAATGGAGAAGATTTTTTTTCTCCAGTGCCGAAGTACGAGTTTTAGGGGTGGGAGTTAAGGTTAGTTTTAGTCTAACTAAAAATGCTTAACTAAATTTTTAGACTAATTCAAATTAGTTAACTAACTTTTTAGTTATCTAAAATTAGTCGACTAACTTATTAGTTAACTAAAATTACCCGACTAACTTTTTAGTTAACTAAAATTACGAGACTAACTTTCTAGTTAACTAAAATTACCCGACTAACTTTTTAGTTAACTAAAATTACCCGACTAACTTTCTAGTTAACTATAATTACCCGACTAACTTTCTAGCTAACTAAAATTACCCGACTAACTTTCTAGCTAACTAAAATTACCCGACTAACTTCTTAGCTAACTAAAATTAGTCGACTAACTTTTTAGTTAACTCAAATTAGTCGACTAAATATTTAGTGTAACTAAATTTAGTCGATTAAAGCAAGATTTAGTGCTTGGAAAAAGAAATGATTTTCGCATAAAAATTATTAAGGCGATAAATATTATTTTATCGAAGTTAAACACTTTACTAGTTGTGAATCCTAGAGCCCAGTCGAACTAAACTGTTATTTAAAAGAAATGTTTTAAGCAAAATTCGATTATTTTATTTTTTTCCCAGCTCTGAGACAACTGCCTATGAAGTTGTTGCAACTGTTTATAAACACCCAATCAGCATGGAATATACAAATAATGCCCTTTAGTCAATTACATCAAATTTGGTACGCTTATTGAACGTTTAACTTATATTTTTTATGTGCTGCTTCTTATAGGAAGTGTGCAATAACAATCGCAAATCAAAAATAATTTCTCCTGCCAAGGCCATACCGACGTGAGTATGGGCACCTTAACGGGGTTACAACATTCTGTCGGTTTTGTCGGTAATTTAGAAAATTTGAAACTCAATCTGTTAAAACTGCAACTTGGCTTTTAAATAAAAAAAAGCCCTACTTTGGTGAGATTTTTATGGTAAAAAAGCTTATTTCATTTACACCCCCTCCCCCTACGTCTTCGTTGTTCAGTACAGCCCTGTCCCCTGCCATATTATAGGAATGGATTCAATCTCTAATTTTCACAACAAATCTATGACTCCCCCTCCCCACCCTTCAAATATCAACCTCTCCTAACGACTTTTATACATCCCGCAAACACTATAGTAAAGCAGGCGAAAGTATTGAGATGAACCCAAAAGGAAATCGTTAAATAAGTTATTATAAATTTATTTATTGCTTTTAGAGTATAGTTGTTCGTCAGTTGGCGATACTTGCAAAATTTAAAAGGAAGATTGGTATTTGCATTTTTGAATGCAATATCCGCAATATAAGTTGTTGAATAGTGTATAAAATGTATTAAATAATACAATACGTAGTTTTTAAGCAATTTAAAATACGTGTAAAACCGGGTCGAAACAGTTATCAATTAAAATTCAATAACTTTTTTATTATATTTATTTTTATATTTTTTCATTAGATAGATGTTTAAAAAAATACTAAAGAATATATAAATAAATATTAAAGAAAAAAATCAAACTATTAAAAGAATAAAGGTAAAAAAGTTTGCTGTTTTAGGCAACAATATAATAAAACCGCACGCTCAAGAACATTAAAATTACACATTAATTTTTTTAATTTTCAATTTTTTCTTTATCTTTTTTTTTAAGCACGTTTTAAATTTAAAAAACTATATTAGTTTTTTAATTTTTTGTATCAAAAAAAATAATAAAAAAATCAGTTTTAGACAAAAGAGTTCGAATACTAAATTTAATAATATTTCTTTTAGAACACTAAAATATAAAAATAACAGTATTTATTACAAGAAAAAACTTCAGTGTTAAATTTAATGAATTTAAACTAAATTAAAAAATTCCAAGTTTTCGTACAAAAACATCAACATTTGATAACATTCAGTTGTCATTCTGTTTCGCTTTGCTTACAAAGTGTTTAATGCGTCAGAGAAAAGGTGTTCACTTAGTGCACTGGTAGCAGGCGTACATAAAATCATTGTTGAAAAACAATACATTATTGAAAATACATGTTAATTTTGATACCAAAAGTGTAAAAACATTGTGCTCATTTACTGACAATTTTATATAACCACTAATTTCTCTTTTTAAATCTTATTATTTTGTCACTATCGT